CGACCCGGTCCCAAGCAGGACGAGTTCAAGATCCTTCACCAGTGCGGAAGAGGCAGGTAAGACTTAACCCGACTGTGACCACCCCTCTTGCCCCCTTACCCTGGGACACTCCTGCAGCCTTTGAGGCTGAGACCAAAACTGATCTGACACTCCAAAAGTATAGAGAAAGGGCTGATACAGGGACTGGGGGATCAGACCAGGAGACTTTTGCATGGGAACAGGGCCGACTGTACCGACATACAGAAAAGAAGGGCCACCGTAGGAGACAGCTAGTGATACCCCACAAGTATAAGCGGGATATCCTCCGGGTGGGTCACAATATTCCCTTAGTCGGGCACTTGGCAGTAACCTGTACCCTTCACCGTATTACCCATACCCTGTTCTGACCAGGGGTACATGCAGATGTGAGGACCTATTGTAATACGTGTGAGGTCTGCCAATGGGTAAGCAAGCGAGGAGACCACCCCAAGGCACACCTCGTTAACATGCCCATCATCGACGAGCCATTTAGCCGGGTAGCCATCGACTTAGTCGGGCCGCTAGCCACCCCTAGTCCCTCTGGTAAGAGATATATTCTTACCATCGTGGACTATTCTACCCGCTACCCGGAAGCTGTGGCTTTATCTAATATCCAGGCAAACATGGTGGCTAATGCGTTAGTGCAGGTATTCTCTCGAGTAGGATTCCCTCAGGAGATCCTATCTGACAGAGGATCTCAGTTCACGGCAGAACTGACCCAGCAGCTGTGGCACGTTTGCAAAATAAAATCCCTTCTTAGCTCCCTGTACCACCCCCAGACCAATGGGTTATGTGAGCGGTTCAACGGAACCCTCAAACAAATGTTAAAAACCTTCACTCAGGAGTATAGAGACTGGGAACGTTTCCTGCCGCATCTCCTATTTGCTTACCGGGTGGTGCCCCAGGAAACCACCGGATTCTCTCCCTTTGAGCTGCTGTACGGTCGCAAGGTACGGGGCCCCTTGAACCTGATCCGTGAGCACTGGGAGGGAGAGACCGAGAACGCCGGGGGCCCCATAGTGCCTTACGTGCTGGAGCTCCGGGACCGAATGGAGCAATTGGCTAAGTCAGTCCGGGCCAACCTCCAGGCGGCCCAGGGGCGACAGAAAGTCTGGTACGACCGGGGGGCAAGGCGGAGAAGCTTCTGTCTAGGGCAGAAAGTCATGGTACTAAAACCAGTTAAGACAGATAAGCTGCAAGCAGCCTGGCAGGGGCCCTACCAGATAGTGGAGAAAAGAAGGGACACTACTTATGTGATTGGCAGCTGTCACGATGAAACCTTAAGAAAGATATTTCACGTGAACATGTTGAAAGAATACTTACAGAGGCCAGAGGAAGTGTCAGCCATATGTAGCCCTGCGTACGAGGACGCAGACAGTCTCCCCATACCCGACTTATTAACCCCTAAATCCCCGGCTGAAATAATGAGCCAAGTGCAGATCGGGGACAGACTTAGCCCAGTAGAGAGGGAGCAGCTACACAAACTGCTCCGAGAGAAACAAGCCATGTTCTCCCAAGAACCAGGGTGCACTGAGCTGACCACCCACCAAGTAGATACCCCCGGGCAAAACCCTTTGAGACAGGCGCCCTACCGAATTCCAGAGGCAGTAAGGGCAGGCATGAAAAAAGAAATAGATGAGATGCTACGGCTAGGGGTCATTGAAGCTTCCGATAGTCCCTGGGCCCTCCCGGTGGTTCTGGTACCCAAAAAGGACGGTACTACCAGATTCTGTGTGGACTATTGGAAACTCAATGACAAGACTGTCACTAATGCTTACCCCATGCCCAGAGTGGATGAGCTGCTGGATCGCATAGCCAGGGGGAACTACCTAACTACCATTGACCTCTGTAAAGGTTACTGGCAAATCCCCCTCGCCAGGGAGGCTGTCCCCAAGTCGGCCTTCGTCACCCCATTCGGTTTGTACCACTTTAAGGTCATGCCGTTCGGGATGAAGAATGCCCCCGCTACATTCCAGCGCTTGGTGGACAGACTTCTTGATGGCTTCCAGGAGTTTGCCTGCGCATACCTGGACGACATAGCGATCCATAATGAATCCTGGGAGGAACACTTGGCTCATGTGGGAATAGTCCTGGATCAGATTCGGGCCGCAGGCCTGACTCTAAAGCCAGAGAAATGTCACTTTGGGATGGCTGAGGTTCAGTACCTGGGTCACCGGGTAGGCTGTGGGAAGCAGCGACCGGAGCCGGCGAAGATAGAGGCGTTCGCCAACTGGCCCACTCCACACACCAAGACCCAAGTGCTAGCTTTCCTGTTTAATGCTGGGTACTACCGGAGATTTGTACCTGAGTATAGCGCAATTGCCAAACCCCTGACCGACCTGACAAACAAAAACCTTTCCCGACAGGTCCTGTGGTCTCCCCACTGTGAAACTGCTTTCCAAGCCCTCAAAACTGCTTTGATTAATGCTCCTGTCTTGGCTGCCCCAGCCCCTAATCAACGTTTTATTGTCCATACAGACGCTTCCATGTTCCTGCTGGGAGCTGTCCTCAGCCAAGTAGGAGATGATAGGAAAGAACACCCGATTGCCTACATCAGTCAAAAACTCCTACCCCGCGAAGTCAGCTATGCCGCGGTAGAAAAGGAGTGTTTGGCCCTGGTGTGGGCATTAAAGAAGTGAACCCCCTATTTGTATGGACAAGAGTTCACTCTGGTTACAGACCATAACCCGTTGGTGTGGCTCAACCGGGTCGCTGGGGACAATGGCAGATTGTTACACTGGAGCTTATCCCTGCAACCCTTTAATTTTACAATCACCTACTGACCCGGGAAGCAGAACGGCAACGCTGACGTATTATCCTGGCAAACAGATCTCAGCCCAGCATAACTTTACAAGTCTGGACAGCCTTAGTCTGCCCCGAAAAGGGTCCTGGAGTTCCTGGACATATGGTACTATGGGGGTCCCTTCTTGCTCTGTCTCCCCCTCCCAGTGCCCTCTAATGAGATCCAGGGTTCTGTGGACCCTTCTCCCATAGAGTAACTCAAAGGGGGAGAACCCAGTAGATTCCTGGGGCACCTCTCTGTATGCAAATAGCAGATGAGGCAGGAATCGCTCCCAGTATCTGCAAGTGTCAGTAAAGGTCCTCAACATCTCTTTGAGGGTACCATTAAATCGCTCGCAGAGACCGTTAGTCTGTGGATGATAAGGTGAGCTAAGCAGCGGTTTAATGCCGCACACCTTCCACAGCTGCTGGGTAAGCACAGCGGTGAACTGAGTTCCCTGGTCGAGGGGATCTCCTGAGGGAACCCGACCCTAGTGAAAATTTTAACCAGGGCATCAGCAACCGTCTCTGCCTCTATATTAGACAGTGCTACTGCCTCTGGATAATGTGTGGCATAGTCCACCACGGTGAGAATATATTTCTTACCGGATGGACTAGCCCTGGCCAGTGGACCCACAATGTCAACGGCTATGCGGGAAAGGGGTTCTCCAATGATAGGCATCGACTGAAGCCTAGCCTTTGGGTAATCCCCCCGTTTACCTACCCGTTGACATGTGTCACACGTACTACAATAAACCCGCACATCTCGGTTAAAATTGGGCCAGAAAAAGTTTTGGGTGATTCTATGAGCTGTGCGGCGGGAGCCTAGATGGCCCACTAATGGCACATTGTTACAAAAGACTGGAAATAACTATGTTACTGTTTAATAACCGATTGATACTGTTTGCCACTGTATATGTTTAAGCCGAAAGAAACACGAATGGATTACTCGAACCATTATAAAGACTCCATTCGTGGTATGAACGAGGGACCCCCAGAGGCTGGCATGTGCCACCACTTAACCCCGTCACCCCGCAAACTACCGAACGGTCGACCACCCGGCCAGAGGCGTGTGGCAGCCATTAACCACCCAGGCGGCTGCGGTTTGCGGTTAATCACAACTTAATTGATAGGCCTGGGGGAATCGACGTTCGCACCCAAAGTACAGAAGGGAATCTACCGAACCATCAACCGAACGGTGACCCCCTACAGCGGGTCGCGTGGCGATCATTAACCTGTGGTTTCTGCGGTTAACCGCAGGTCAAGTACCCTTCTACCAGGTGGTCCTCGTTCATGTACCGAACGATTTCCACTACCAGACAGACAGCGGGGCTTCGCATGAACTGGTACCCGAGTTTAGTTCCACGAGTTAGAAGCGAGGTCCCGCTGCCTGCTAAACCATCAGAAAACATGGCCGCCAACAGAGACTCACAATCCAAAATGCCGAACGGACTTTATACGGCAGAAACAGTCCATTCTGTTCGTGGGATTGGAGCGCCATTCGCATGTTTAATATATACGAACGCGAGCCTTTAGATGAATGGTAGAATGAGTTGTTTCCCTTTATTAATGTAAAAGTTATTTGTTATAAGTTTTCTGGGACATAATAAAACGTGGTCTTTTGTGCGCTTGGAGATAATTAGTTTGTATAACTGTTGGCCTCATTATCTCCAAGCTGGGCGGGTACTAATTCAAAAAATACACTGTATTGTGATTGGATATTTGTCTGTACTGTACCTGTATTCCATCAGGTCCACAGGGGGCTGTCCTTGGACCTGAGGAATCACATAAATTGCCATGCTATGTGCCAGTAAAGCCAGTTTGTTTTGACCCTCAACTTGCAGCCTCGACTCATGTTGTAGGGATCCGGGATATTGATGCTTATATCGTGCTTGGGGATATTCTACACTTGCAGCTTACTACCGAAAGACCTCCGTTCGACTCTCTGCAGCGGGAACCAGGACATCCAAGCGATCAACCCTCCTGCTAGACCGGGGGCAATCGTAACACACATCATGCCCAATCCGCAGAATCTCTTGCCAGTATTTTGCAGGCACCACTAGCTGTCGATTCTGCGGAGGGGCACTCGGTTTCTGGGACGGTTTAGGGATCCTGTACAACTTATCCCCACCCACTCCTAATGCTCCTCATCTACCCCTTCTCCCCCAGAATCGGCCCTGGCCCTGTACTTCGCTAACGTCGGTTCTTCCCTAGTTTCCTTCCCGTACATCTCTGGGGTATCTCAGCCTAAAGGGCCCTGGGTTAAGGTACAATTTGGGGTAGAGAGTCTTACCTGGGTCTCAGCAGCAGGTGGGCTGGTCCCGGCGGCACGGGTCTGGGCACGAGTCGTGACAGCGTCCACTTCAGCGTGACCCATGGGAGCGAAGGCTGAAACAAGGTGCGCCAAGTCATTGCCAAGGAGGACATCTGCTGGTAAATCCTTCATGACCCCCACATTTACATGTCTAGTGCCCACTCCCCAATCCAAATGTACCCGGGAAACGGGTAGACAAAACACGGCACCCCCGGCTACTCGCACTGCGACCGTGTCTCCAGTATGTTGGGCCTCGGACTCAAGATGCTTCTGAAGCAATGTCATGGTTGCACCGGTATCCCGTAGACGCGTTGACCTTCCCGTTGACCTTTACACATTGCCGGTGGTGCTGTCTGTTATCCCGGTGGGCAGCTTGAACAGGGTCTGCCTCATGCAGGATGCCCCAGCATTCCTCTTCCTCTACACAGTGAGCAGCCGGGAGAGGTGGTCGTGGATTGCTGCCAGCTGCATTGCCGCCAGCTGGTCTCCTCCAAGACTGGGTCTGGTTGGCACTGTTCATCGGGCACTCTGGTTGCTTGTGCCCTGGCTGTTTGCATAAGAAGCACCTAATGGGTTGCTAATAATCCCGTGAGTTGAACCGGGGTGGCTGTTGATAATGAGCAGACGGAGGGGGTGCTGACGGCCGATTCATTGGAGGCTGGTAGACGTTAGCTATTGGTGGTGCTGCTGGCCGGTACTCAACTCTGGCGGGAGTCTTACTGATGGAACTGTCCAGTTTGCGGGCATCCGTACATTCGTCCGCCAGGCGAGCTGCTTCATGCAGAGTGGAGGGTTTACGGTCCCTTACCCACTCTCTGACCCCTGGGGATAATTTGTCAAAACAATGCTCCAATAGGAACATCTGCAGCACCTCTTCCCCGGATACAGCTTGGCACCCCGCCATCCAGTGGGCAGCGGTGCGGTGCACTTTGCATTCCCATTCAACATACGGGTCCCCAGCTGATTTAACAGTGTCTCTGAACCGCCTCCTGTATGCCTCCGGTGTAACGGCATACCGGGAGAGTAAAGCTTCCCTGACGGCCCCATAATCCCCGATCTCCTCATTAGAAATGACCCGAAAAGCATCGCTGGCCCGGCGGATAACTTACCGGACAATATAGTGACCCAGTCTTCCATGGGTACCTTGTGCAGGGCACATTGCCGCACGAAATCAGCAAGGTACCCATCAATCTCTCCTTCTGCCTCCACAAAAGGTTTAAATGCAGTAAACGGCACTTTCTTTCTTTCCCCCGGGTTTGCTGTGACTGGGGCTGCTGCAGCACCGCTTTGGCGTAGCAGGTTTGCCTCCACAGCGGCCATGACCCGGTCAATTGTCTCTGCAGATGGGATGGGACCATAATGGGCCAGCCTGATTCTTACAGCCCGGTCAAAGCTTGCCTCCTCGGGGTTTCTGTCAGCTGTGCTGGGTCCATTGGTTCCCTCTGCCTCTGGTACTCCATCCATTTCCAATAGTAGCGCAATAATTTCCCTCTTCCTGAGGTTACTGGCTTGTCCGCCTCTTTGTTCCAATAAATCTTTCAGGTTAGCTCTTTTCAGTCTCTGATATTGTACATCCATTTAATCCTGGTTGTAGTGGTCTCTCTGGGCGCTGAGGGTCATCCCGTCGCTTGCCATCAGCTGTTACGGTACCTTCAGTAATAAATGTACAAACTGCCGTTTAGTGAATGCTCCCCATTCGCAATAATGGTTTCTGGTAGCGTATGCAGTACAACCATGTGAACCACCAGCCAGGGAACACTCCAAACTCCCGAACGGTATCCGTACGGCTCCTTCCCTTCCCGAGCCACAAGTTCACTAAACTGCCAATATCAGCCGAACGCCAATATCTTCCAAGCGGCAAATAATTCCAAAGAGCAGTCTCTAGTCGCCGGTAATAAATTCCCCCCAATAACGAGACCAAGCTCCGCATTGAGGTTAAAACACGAACTGAGTTTACTGTGGGCTACCTGCCCGTATTTATGCAGGTCTCCCACTTGGTGGACATTCCCCTAGGGGACCAAATGGGAGACTGGAATAGCAGATGGACATGGGGACATTTCAGACATACAATCACACAATATTCCCAGCATGCATCACAGTTTCCTCCCCTCTGATCGGGAGATAATTGAGAAGTAATTCAATTATCTCCCAGAGCAGAGGCAAATCGCCATTTTAAATACAAGTCACAAAACACATAAAAATATATAACTTTATAACTGCCGAACATATTACATTCGTGTAACACATCCCCAGATAGCCTGAATCTGAGTGCATATTATTTGCGAATAACGCTCAGATTCCATACGCACAATTCAATCGCCATGGAGTCAAAGTCTATTACAGTTCTTCGGTATGCAATTGACTCCATAGGAAGGCTATCTGGGGTAAGTCCATTCGTGCCTTTACATCTCCCGAATGGCCGGTGTTCGCACACTTCTGTCGATTGAGAAGGGATTTCTACGGCTTCAGCGGTGTTCGGTTGAAAAAGTGTCAGTTTTCAGTTCCATGAAATAACCGTCGAACACCGCTGGTCTTTCGCATGGTTAAAATGGCCGCCGCCTCGTGGTCGACATACGAACGACGACCACCCTGTATTCGGTTAAGTGTCTGTGGTTAACTGCAACGTTCTAATTGGGATCAATAGGTTAACCAGCAGCACACTTCTCTTCTGGGTGGCCGTCCGTTCAGCAGTTCCGTTAGACAGAAAAGTACATTCCCTTAAACAAAGTATACGAACGGGTAAATTCATGCAAACGGCAAAACAGACGAACACAGCAATCCTAGTTCATACGGATGGGTCTGTCACAATAACTTAAAATACCCATCCAAAAACTTCCATTGTTAAAAACAAAAGAATGATATAAAATGCTGGTTGTTACGGCAACCCCCAGGCTAGCTGGACCGCTTGGAAGGAGGAGAGACGCTTCAGTAGTTATTCCATACAAATCCTGTAAATGTAGAGCAATCCCACAAGGTATCATTCAGCTAGGATACCCATTTCCCCACAAAAGGAGTCAAGGCTGCGATTTGGAGGTCAAGCAAGAACTGGCTTTAATGACACACAGGGGACCGTATTTATGTAAAATCTCAGGCCCAGGGACAGCCCCCTCTGGACCTGATGGGATACAGGGATAATACAAGTGGGGGACCAATAGAAATGCAATGCATCATTTGAAATCGTCACCGCCCAGCTTGGAGATAATGAATCCAACGGTTATTACAATACAATTATCTCCAAGCGCCCAAAACCCCACGTGTTTTTGCCACACAGAAAACAGAATAAAAATACATATTTTAAACAGTTTTATATATAATTTGTGTCTTCCACCATTCATTACATAGCCCCGGTTTAGGTGAAACAGTTAACCGAAAAGCGATCCGAACCCACAAATGGTACGCTGTATTTCCTCGAAACAAAGTCTGTCCGTGTCTTTGGGTTCTGAGCGTGTGATGGCGGCCATGTTTTGAGGTAGACTAATAGGCCGCGGGACTTCACTCGAATCCCTGCTCCGTCGCTGGATGTCTCCGTTGTTCGGGAGTAGAATGAAGACCGCCAGGAGGGTATTTAACCTGCAGTTACCTGCAGAAACCAACATTCTAATTGGAGCCACACGCCAGACTGTAGGTGGCCCTTGTTCGGTAGTTAGAATAACGGGCGATGGGGCACGAACGTGAATGCCCTGCTGCCGTCAATTAGGTTGTGGTTAACCGCAGACCGCAACTCTCTGGGCGATTAAGTGGAGGCACACTCCGCTCGTAGGGTGGTCGGCCATTCGGTTGTTCCAAAGGTAACCGGGTTAATTGACGGCACACGCCAAGATCTTGGTGGTCTGTCATTCGTATAACGAATAGACAGTGGGCCCGTAGTTCAGGAATTAGGTACCAAATCCCAGTACTGTAGTCAAACTCTGGGTGAAAGGCAACAATGAATAACATTCACTTCTGAGTTGTAGCGCCTCAATAATAGTAACCAATAGATTGTAACACTGGTAATTTCAAATTCCACATTCAGCCCTAATGGGGCTAGTGTTCGCAAACTGTAGATCCAATAAATTTATATATCAGGCTTTTTGTTAGATCCCCTCTGTAACGGCACCCCCAGGCATAAAAGGGTTAAACTGCCGTTTAGGAGATCTTCCCCTTCCAGAGACACAGGCACAGCTACTGCAGAACACCAATCCGCCAAACAGGAAACCATATGAATGCTGTAAACAGCTGAATAGGAAAAACCATACGAATAGGTTTACACTCCTAGCAGTCAAACTGGAACAGCATACAATACACTCAGACACTCCCACACAAAATCCTCCCCTCTGCCTGTGATTCAATTACCTTACACAATGGGTAATGTAATTATAACAAGCAGAGAAATACAATTTTTCCACATTATTCATAACTTGAAAAGTATGCATCACATTCACATATATTTTCAGAATCAGCATACTCCAAATACAAACATATGTCAAAATCATAAAAATTGGTCCAGTGGTTCAAAAGATAGATCATAGTCCTTTGTGACCAAAGGAAGCATGGCTTTTCTGCCCAAAACCAGTTCCACAGAGTCTTCTATCCTGGAGATAATTGGGAAGTAATTCAATTATCTCCAAACACAGAGGCAAAACTCCATTGAACACATGGCAGCAAAAGACACTAAAATA